TGTGCTAATTGTCTCTAAATTGATATTTATTCATATGAGTCTATGGCCGGTCGACACAACTTTGATGGACTTAGGTGGTTAAGTTAGAGACAATAAGGGCTTGTTTGAGAATATTTTTGTAAGAATGAATCACTTCTATTCATAAGCACTTTTTTAGAAGAATGTCAAAAAAAATTATTAAAAATTCAAAGTGCTTTCTGAAGAAGCATCCATTAGGTGCTTCTCTGAAAAACATTTTGGTAATCCAAAAGTACTTATAAGCAAAAAGGTGAGAACTCCAAAAGAATCTGAATTTCAAATTTTGTGAGTTGTTTTGTGTTTAAAGAGTTTTATAATATTTCTCGACTTATGTTAGTTTTTAGTTAGTTTCTTCGTGGTAGAATTTCAACAAGACCCGGTTTACTTAAAACAGAAAGTACAACGACGTTTAGCTCACAACAATTTCTCATGTATTAGTCACAAGATTTTGTTTTATAGCGATGATGAATACATTTGTTGTACATAAAAACTTTCAAAATCTAAGGTGTGAACACAAAATTGGAAAAAGATATAAGGTGTGAACACAGCAGTTAGCTAGAGAACTCCAAAATCAAGAACATATGATAATGATATAATATAGATTAAGGATATGTTCCAATCGCAAGTAATATTTTAATTTGATCGGTTGATGAAGAGTCGAATATATTTAGTAGATAGAATAAATAAAGTAGTGTTCAAGTAGTGGGCAGTCCATATCTGTGTGCGCGCGTTTCGAGCCCACATGGCCCTCCCTTACTCCCTTATCTATCATCATCAACGTAAGCTAAGCTTTTCACACTACGCCACTGCCCTACGTCAGATACCATTACTCTCTCTCTCTCTCTCTCTCTCTCTATATATATATATATATATGGCTTAATTATGTACATGCTCCCTGTGCTTTCCAACTTATCTCAGATTACCACCTGTGGTGGAAAACGTCTCAAAGTACCCCCCAACGTGCAAAAAACTGTCTCACGTTACCCTTTCCGTCAGTTTTTTTGAAGTTCCGTTACGAATGTTACTGTTCATCTCCCCCAAAATTCCAGAACAGTAGCCCCTCCCCTTTGTTACTGTTCATCGCTTATTTACCCTCCAAAACTCAGAAATTTCTCCTAACCAACACAACTAGCAGCAAGAACAACTCGAGAGGTTGAAAAATCATACCTGGATCGAAGAAAATGGTGCTCGGAATCGCCCGAACGAGCAATGGAGATTTTGGGTAAAAACCGGCCAATTTCTTGCTTTTTTCGGTGATCCAGACGACGGTTGGCAGCGGCTGAGATGTGAGGGTGGTAGAGGACAACGTGCTGGTTCTTTTGATATCCATGTCGTCGCTTGGGGTGGCCGGAGGAGGCGATGGCAGCCCAAAAACTGGTGCGATGAACAGTAACAAATGGGAGGAGCTGCTGTTCTGGAATTTTGGGGGAGATGAACAGTAACGTTCGTAACGGAACTTCAAAAAAACTGACGGAAAGGGTAACGTGAGACAGTTTTTTGCACGTTGGGGGGTACTTTGAGACGTTTTCCACCACAGGTGGTAATCTGAGATAAGTTGGAAAGCACAGGGGGCATGTACATAATTAAGCCTATATATATATATATAATAAATAAGACTGTCAACCGTTATTATTACAGGTAACAAAATCACATAACAAATGTGGATTAGGTCAGTAAGTCGTTTCGTTGCATCCAATTCGGTATGTGATTGATAATTCTAATGTTATCAATTATATAGATTATTGATTTTCTACATGGTGTTAATTGATAACTCGCTAAAAGAAAGAAAGAAAAAAAAATCACGTTTTGTTTTTTTCATTTTCGTAAGAAAAAAGTTATTGGAAAGTCAGAGATTAATTAAAGCCAGAGGATAAGACCAAGAATCTTCGCTTCCTCCTTCCGCGTAGTCGCTCACTGATCACTACTAGTTTAGAGAGAGACAGAGAGAGAAATGGTTTTTGTGAGTATAGTGAGTTGTTGTTGGGGCTGAATTGGTCAGCAATGGACTTTTCTCTTTACATCTCTCTCTCTCTCTTGTCTACACTAAACCAAATTGATCAGCACCACAAAACTAGTCTACTTGTGAGAAAAAAAGAAAAGAAAAGAAAATTAATTAATTGGTTTTATTGAGTCAAATCTGTCTCTTTTCCTTCCCTTTTCCCAGCCCCTTATATCCATCCCCATCTTCCTCTCGACTCTTCCTCGCACTTTCATTAAGAAATCAAGAAACACATTTCCCTGCTCTGCATAACATAGCTACCTATAGCTTCACCCTCTACTTTCTTCATTAATTTACAACTCTCTCTCTCTCTCTCTCTCTTCCTACTTAAGCAATCTCCCTCCCTTACTACTTAAGCAAACTACCTATCAATCTTCAATTGGAGCTTTGGTGTTTCTGATCAAAACCACTCTCACATTCAGCCAATTTTACTTCTTTCAGCTAGCTAGTTCTATGTTTGTGGCTTCTGATTGGTTATTTTCCTTGCTCCTAACATTCAAAGTGTGAAACTTTGCCTTGATATGATCTAAATTCTACCTCAATTTTAATCCATCTGCTCAATACTTGCACTTGTTCAAGTATATAGTACTTGAACCATTTTCTGGTTCACATTTCTAAATGGAGAAGAGGAAGAGCATGGAGTGGGAGCAAGAGACTCTAACCAGTGAGCTAACCCAAGGGAAGGAGCTGGCAAAGCAGCTTATGAACTGTCTTCACCCTTCTGCATCCCAAGAAAAAAGAGACTTTCTGATTTCAAAAATACTATTTTCCTATGAAAAGGCACTCTCACTGCTCAAAAGGGATGTTGGTTCTGATGGAGAGTACCACATCCCTAACACCATGTTGGAATCACCTACTTCATTTGGCAATGGCAGCCCAATGAGTGAGATCTCTGACCAAGATTGCAAGAACAAAAATGTCTTCAAGAAAAGGTATTTTTTTAACTTGGATTTTAATTTTATTAATTAGGGCAATTTTGGATTAGCCTAATTATGGTTGAAATTGATCTGATTTTGACTGTTGGGATTTCTGTGTTGCAGGAAAACAATGCCCAGGTGGACTGAAGAAGTGAAGGTTTACTCTGGAACAGGGCTAGATGGGAGTCTTGATGATGGCTACAGTTGGAGAAAATATGGCCAAAAGGATATCCTTGGAGCTACCTATCCAAGGTGAGAACTTTTAGTCTTTAAAGTTAGGAGTTTGAACCATTACATGTTCAATTTACATAATTAATACAAATAAAATAACACAAAAACCACCAGTGGTTGGATTGGATGCTCCACCAGTGAAGCCTCTATTTTGCTCATAGTGAAAAATACCTTTTTCTATTTATCACATGAGCCTGATTAATCATTGGTCAGACATCAGCTCTTGTCCTCAAATCTACGCAGCACGTCAAAAATTAGAGTTCTTATTACTGCTAGGATGAAGAGGCTATTTTTTCCTCTCTTTTTTTCTTCTTCTTTCACAAGTGGCATAATGAAGACAAAAAGTACTTGAACTTATCTAAAGGTGACTTGTATCTGGCTCCGTAAGCTAGCAGTCTTTAAATCAATTCACTCTATCTAGTTGTTTGTGTTTTTTTGTTTGGCCTCCAGGATTGACAATTCTTCAGCCTAGACAGTACCTTTTAGCATTAAAAATAAAAACGCCATGTCCTGGCAACCGGTCCAACTCCCAAAACGGGTCCTATTGGCATCTTGTGTTAAGTTTGCTTTAGCTCAACCGGGACCATGTTGATATTTAGTGAAGAAAATGTCATGTAACATTTCACTGTTGATGAATTTGGTCTAAATTGCATGTAAGATTTGCAGAGATATTCATATGAATGATGTTGATGTCCCATATTTCTCAAAAATCACCTTTTTGTTTTCTTTGTATTGCAGAGGCTACTACAGATGCACACATCGCGGCACGCAGGGTTGTTTAGCCACCAAGCAAGTTCAAAAGGCAGATGCAGACCCGTCAACCATGGTGGTAACCTACAGAGGAGAACATACTTGTAGCCAAGTCCTTCAGTTAGCCAGGTCATCAGTATTATCCCTAGCTAAACAAGCTTCAACAGGAAATCAAAATGCAACCCGAGAAGTAGAAAAACCAAAAGCATCAGAAGAGATGTCTTTCAGTTTTGGGGCAGGGCTTAGAGTTAAAACTGAGGATTTGGACACAAGGGAAGATGATATATTTCCATCATTTTCCTTCCCTTCTACACCAATTGAACCTGAAAATGTCGGAGACCATATTTTCTGTGCAACTTTGATGGAGAATGATTTGATGGATGGCTATTCTCCCACATTTGCATCTCCAGCAGCAACATTTGAACCAGACTACTTGCAGGCCACGAGCAGTTTTGGACTTGGCCTTGATTATGTGCAGACTTCAGAATCTGGTCTCAGTGAGATCATCTCAGCCCCAACTTCAGTGACCAACTCACCAATTGGGGATTTTGGTTTCTCACTTGATGATTTGGATTTTCACCATTTTGAAAACCCAGAAAGTTTTGCTTACGAGTCATAACTTTCCCTCACCCTTTAGAGAGAGAGAGAGAGAGAGAGAGAGAGAGAGAAGGAAATGATGCTTGTGAAGAGACAGTTTTCCTGTGCCTAGGTAGTTAAATTCTAGATTTAGTGTGCTAGTTACTGTTTCTATGTGTGTCTCTAGTTTATGTTTTCCTCACTTCCGGTCTCATTGATTTGTAAATTCTTTGGTCCAAGAGGATTAGTTCTTCTGATTGTAACAAATAAAATTCCATTCCTGATCGAATTAAATTGTTCTAGATTTTCAATATTCTGAAATCAGTGGTGCTGGTGTTCCTTGAGATAATAAGATTAAAATCTTCATCTTTTTAACTGGCACAAGAGACTTATCAAAGGCAAGCACTTTGTTTGGCATGGTCATTAATTGGATACAATAATTTTTTGGCTGGAACCAAACTCGCCCATCTTCTGTGCCCACTTTAGAGTCTCATCCAATATCACCTTGGCATCAAATTTGTACTCGAATCCGATTTTCTCTAGCTTTGTGGAACCCCAAACAATTTCTCTCCCTAAATCTTCCACAAATCTGAAACAAAACATGAACAAAATCCTCTGTTAGGGTTTAACCATAGAGGCCAAAATCTTGTACCTTCCCAATAATTGTATGTATAGTAAATTAATAACTTACTCTTCAGCTATTCTGATATCTGGGTGATATTTTTTCCAGTGAGATGCTATTTCTGCAGATGACAAATATGCACTGGCACATAGAAATCTGCCACTGATGCAGGGATTCCCTATGCATAGTATGTGTGCCTCACAAACATCTTCAATGTGCACAATTGGAACTTTACCCAACAAGTCCTCCAAAAATCTCAGCATTTGGTATCGCTTGCGGTTTGCGAAATGAGCAACCCCATGCTTTCAGGCATAACAGAGAGAAGGGTGTCCCCTCCCACAAGGCCACAGGCAATGCTGACTACTTCAAGCTCACTGCTAATGTGCCTCAGCACTTCTTTCTCAGAAAGGGTCTTTGAGTGTGTATAATCCTACAATGCATATATTACTCACTTTTTAGATTGTTTATTGTTTATTTTTTATTTTATTTTATTTTAAAAAAGTAATGTGTTAAACAAATAATTGATAATTGCATTCTTAAAGAATGGATATGCTAGTGTCAGTCGTGCATGGGCGCGTGACGCAATACAGTGAGTCTCACACTCATCAATGGCTGAGATTTCTTCTCACGCCCACATACATATACGTCTGGCAATTTAACGCAACTCAATTTAACCATTAAAGTTTCGTAACTTTAATAACTGTGATGCTTACCATCAATGTTTGATTGGCAAGAGGATATAAGAGATTGAGAGGAGTCCAGCAGGACTCGTCCATATATTTTTGGAAGCCATTTCCAGAGTCTTTGATTGGTGCTGCAGCCACCACAGAGGCTGTGTAAATGAGTCGTTTTACGGTGCCTGATTTGATGCAAGACCTCACTATGCTGTTAAGCCCAGAAACTGCAGCCTCAGAAGTGTTTTTGAACTATTTCAATAGCAAACAAAACAAACTGTGGCATTAGGGAACTCTTTAAGTCTGCATTGCAATAGTTTGCAGCAGTTGGATTCAATCAAACGGCTGCTGGTACATTATTTTAAGGTGAGTGTATTTGGTCAGGATTGATGCAATCTCAATCTAAACACTAGTACTTTCTGAATCAGATGGCAGAAGCATAAGAAATTAACAATTCTTTGAGACCTTTTCAGAGTTTCTAGTTAAAAAACAAGCAAACCTGAGTGTCCTTCGGCTCATGCTGCAAAGGGGTAGCCAAGTGGAAGATATATTTGCAGCCTTGGATTGCTGGCTCAAACTCATAAGGATTATATATATCTGCTTCAAACAATCTTAATCTCTCCTGTGCATTTGGAAGACCCTTGAGAAGCCCCACTTTAAATGGATCACCTGCACATCACAAATATATTCAGCATAAATATATGGAAGTTAGAGAGAAGCAGAGAGAGAGAGAGAGAGAGAGAGAGAAGAGAACCCAGATTTCTGAGTGTTGCATGGACAGTGTATCCTTTCTCTAAGAGCCTTTTGACAAGAGAAAAGCCAAGGTAGCTTGAGCCTCCTGTAACACAAACCTTGGTGTTCTCCATTTCCAAATCAGAGCAACTTAGCCAATCCAATCCAATGATTATTTCTGTGGCTCTAGTCTGCTATGTTTGATGTTATGGTTTGACTTTATAAGTTGTGATTTATAGGACAATCTAAGCTATTAGGCCGGCAAATGTTCCAAGGGGTATATGAGGACACGTGGAATTGCACAAAACTTCAGACAATGTTCTTGATTATAATCACAGGATTTTTTATTTTTTATTTTAATAAAGATTGTCTGTTTGTTTAGACTTATAATACTGAACATTATTGCCAAAGCTTTGGCACCATTTCGGGTTTTGAAGTGTATGATATTTTAAACTGCTCTAGATACACGATAAATGAATTCAAACTCGAATGCAAGAAAGTGATTACACTGCCTTCATTCAGCCAGTAATATACCTAGTGCCTTTACTTGTGGTCAATAGTGCATTTCCTTGTGAGTTTTACACAAACTAATCATAAGCTACAAGTCTCTTGGCAAGCAAAGCATGGACCATGTCCTATAACGAAGTCTATCATTCACAATCAAGATGTTAAGGCCATCTCCAACTCAAGGGGTGGAAACTCAAATTTTCAGTTTTGAGTCCAAAATCCTTCTCCAACCCATGTATTTTGGGGGGTGAAAATTTGAGAAATGTCAAATTTGGGGTGGAATTCCAATCCAAGTTTTGCCTGGACTAGTATTTTATGTGGAGCCCAAACTTTGCTTTTTTTTTTTCTTTTTTTCTTTTTGACTTGGAAGCCTATGTGAAGAAGAAAAATTGATGGCCTCGCATGATAGCTTTGCTGTCGGCTAGCAGAGTGGTGCGACACAACTGGTAGCCTTGTGCAAGTTGATTCCAACGGCTAAAAATTCAGAAGTTGTGCTATTTTTTATTCCAACAGCTATATTTTACATCAACGATCAGTATGGCTCATGTGCAACAACATCATTCAAGAGACTCTCATGCGGAACCGCCTGCGAAAGTCCACTGAGGGATAAAGTTGTCTTTT